TATATATATATATTTTTTAATTTAATATTTTATTCAATTTATATCCAATTAACACTTGTTACTTAATTTCCAACTTTATTAACTTAATATTATACAGGCACAAATACTGGTCTGAGTTTAAATAGTGGTTCTTCATTATTTGGACAACAAAAACCAGGCAGTCTGTTTGGAAATACCGGAAGTAATACTACGTTTAACAGTCCTGGAACTTTTGGATCTTCCACCTTTGGAACAAACTCTAATATGATGGCCGGGACAGGAATGGGTTTGCTTAATGGAGGGTAATACAATGTTTATACATTTATTTTTAAAATAATAAATTTTATTTATTTGGATTAGGGAAATCTTTTAATTGCTTAAATTTTCAATAATTATCTGTATTAATGTGCGTATATACATAATAGTGTGTAATATACATAAAGTGCTTTTACAATTATTTTACAATATTTTTGAGCTCAAATCAAACGAAAATCTCAAAAAAGATGAAAATATCGAGACTAACATTTTTTTAATGGAAAGAGTTCTTAAATTTGATATGTTATATCTATATAAAAAAAATATATAGTACTATAAACACATTTTTTTTTAATGACTATATGTTTAACTTAAAATAGTTTTTATTTTTTACATCAGTATTGCATGAATATAATTTGTCGATAGAAGTAAGTAAATCTTAACAAATGTTTGCATTTGTATGAACATATTTGTCATTGCATATTATCGAGTTTTATGAAATCTATTTTTTAATATACAGGGTGTCCCACCAAAAGTGGCCACTTCCTTTTATCTTTTAAACTTAAAGAGATAGACTGTAACAAATATATATCAAATTAAATGGTTCAAACTGAACTCTATTGTGAACATAATGGTTGCTTCCAAAAGTTATGTGTTAACGAATGGAGAGGTATGCATAATTTTTTTATACTAATGTGAATATTTTGATATGATAAAAGTTGTAGCACTGTTTGGAATGAATACAATGATGTATGATATAATATAAATATTTTATACAGGTGTCTCACAACCTCCGTACAATACTTTAATAGTGTATTCTCGAGATAAAACAGAGTCAAAAATTCTAATATAAAAATTTTAAGGCTGCAATAGTTTTTGAGTTATAAACGATCAAAGTTTGCCAATGATATCGCGTAGAGCTCGCGCGCTCAGATCTGTAACTACACATACACGCGTACCGATCTGTCATCTGTTATTTTACAAATCAGGTAATATTGATTTTTATTGCACAGCTGATTTGATTGTTTCTTATGTGTATGAATACCATGTACGGTGGTCAGCTGATATTAATGAACTATAAATGTTGTACATAAAATATTTAATTTTTTCTTAAATAACGATTTAAATGATTGATTAATTATTATATTTAAATAAAAATACAAACAATATTTTCACACTTAAAAAAATTTTTTAACTTTTTTTCATTTTCAGCATAAAGTCGACTGTCCCATAGAGCATTGATGTATGTACTTTAATCGTGTAAAAGCATTTGTAATTCTATATAGCCATTACAAAAACTGGTAAATTCAAAAAATTGCGTTCGGTCGGTAGTTTAAGATCTCCTTAACTTAATATTTTAAGAAACGAAGTTTATTTTTGTTTTGATAGCGCGGAGAACTTTTGTGGAAATAAATTTATTTATTTTATCTGTCAGCAATAACAGATGACAGTGCGTGTGTAAATGTAGTTACGAGCCTGAGGGTGCAAATTCTACACAATATTATTGGCAAACTTTGATCATTTATAATTCAAAAACTATTGTAGCTTCGATATTTTTGTATTAAAATTTTTTACTCCATTTTGCCTCTAGAATACACTATTAAAATATTGTACGGAGGTTGTAAGACACCCTGTATATATACGTATTTTATCAACTTGAAATATCGTGGGCGGCGTCTACTTTTTCATTTTCGGCCCTGCGATATGGCCAACTTCGGATTGAATTTTATGATCAAAAGGCCATGTTCTGATATTAACTGCCAGTATTGAAAATCTATAATATATGTGACGTAAACTAGGTAGATGTCACCCGCGATATTTCAAATCGATAAAACTCTAATATATAAAATATTTACATTATATTATACATCGTTATATTCGTTTCAAACAGTGCTACAACTTTTATCATATCGAAATATCCACATTATTATAAAAAAATTATGCATATCTCCGTTCGTTAACACAGATAGCTTTTGGAAGTAACCACTATGCTCACAATAGAATTCAGTTTGAACTATTTAATTTAATATATATTTGTTATGATCTATCTCTTTTAGTTTAAAAGATAAAAGAGGGTGGCCACTTTTGGTGGGACACCCTGTATATTATATTAAAAAGTAGAATATTGATTAATATACATATACATATATATTGAATAAAACACTTTTACCATATGAAAGAAGTGGATTATATGACATTTTATGACACATTATATTTAATATTCTATAATATTTTTACATTATTATTATTATTTTTACATACAGTATAATAGTCATTCGTGTTTAAATATGATTTATTCAATGCAACATTCCAGCATCATTGTATATGTAATTAGTTTTAACATCATAAAGGGATGGCAAGAACACGAACAAGACTTATATCATTATGAGATGTATGTACTGTGCCTGACAGTGCAAATTTTGGATTATGTTATCGATTTATTATCAGATTTAAACATTTCCCATTTAAAAAATATCGATGTTTTTATTTTCGGATTTTCTTATTTAAGCTTAGAAATATATTCTTACAATTGCAACTTATATTATTATTATATTATATTTTGTGTTTGCATGTACTTTTTTAAAGCGTGCATGTACATGTGTGTGTATTTATTATGTGTTTTTATAATTGTGTGTGTATATTAATTGAATAAACATTTATTTTATAGAATGGTATCTAATCAAACTAAAACAAACGGTTTAGTACCAGTACATCAACAAATCTTAGCTCTCGTTTCTGCACCATTCGGTGATTCACCATTATTAAAGAATCTTTTACCAGTAAGTATTGTATCTTATTTAATGATTATATTGAAACAAATAAAAAAATATGTTATTGTAATCTTTATTTTTGATTTTTTCTGTTTTTATAGGCATCTGGAAAGACCGAAGAACTTTTAAAACCTACAAATCCAACATCAAAGATACTTAATAGTCCACATTACAGAGTTACCACTAATAACAAATCTCCAAAAATCAAGGCAAAAGTCGTCAGCTCTGTACAATTATCTAAGGTAAATTTACTAAATTATTTAAACATTCTTCAAACATTTATAACATTGAAAATTATCGCAGAAATATTTTCACATATAAATACGTTATAAAACGATCAAAACGACTTCAGTGATACAGATCAATGATTAAAAATAGGCTTAAATGGAGCTAAATGCATTTACCAATACATGTATTAATAAAAAAATATAATGTGATTAATATGATAATTGAAGCAAAAATTTCGATTCTTGTTTGGACTCTTCTTAGTGATATGAAAAAGCCATTAGTATAGGAAACATTCATTCTACTGAAATCCTCGTGATTCGTCAATAAATAAATAAATAAAGATTCCTTCGATTTCAAGTTGTCATCTACTGTATAATTTTTCCAAGAACTTCTGGAAGAATGAACTTCTTGAAATAAATCAATAGAAAATTTTTTACTTCTGAAGTTTCCATAATGGAGCAACAACCATAAAACAAATTCATTATAAGTTTAGTTAATTCACCAAGAATGGCATTCAAAGATCAGTGATTACCGATTATAGAGTTTAATGGGAATCATGACCTTTTGATTGAAAAAACGAAGAAATTGCAGGAGCCCTGTTATACAAGAAGAATAATTTCTGACATGTTACATGTTACAATTTAGTCTTAACTTGTAGAGTGACACTAAATTATTAAATGCCCTTATCTGTCTCTCTATAATGAATAAGTTTAATAAGATTCGAAATCATCACAGTTTCTTTGAACTTTGATAATTTCTGGATCTCATCCATTTAAGATTGATAATTCTACTGTTGATTTTCCTGCTAGTAAATCAAGTTAACTAAATTTGTAATAATGGTTTTATTATTTGATCATTGCTCCATTATTATAGAAATTTTAGGAATAAAATATTTTTTATTAATTTTACTTGAGATTCAACATTTTTTCATAAATTCCTGAGAAAACATGTTAATAGATGACAGCTTAAGAATTGAAGGAGACTGTATGTTTTATCCCTCTATTAGTCGCAATATTTTGCAATCAAAGTACTAGGATAGACAAAAAAAAACATAAACTGAAATGTTAATAATATGGCTTAAAATAAATAATGACAAAAATTATTTTTTGTATTAAAAAAATTTTTGCTTTCTTTCTTTTAATGTTATACAACAGTTATAACGAGTATCTATTGGATATTGTGACTAATATCTATATAAAAATATGTGTAGATAGGTGTTATAGGCAGGTGTTATACCTAACACAGGATAACTTTCATAACATACTTTCGAATATACAAAAAATTTTAGGCTGTTTTAAATGTGTGTTACATGAAAGCGTTAGCACGAGTGACCGTTATCTTTCTCAGCTGAAGCATCTTTGAAATAATCGCGCTTTTTCGGCTATGTTTGTCATGAAAATTTGGAGGGGACCACTCTGGTTCACAAAGGGATTAGTCACAAACAATAGTGAAAGAAATTTTTCTCAATATACTTACAGTTAAAATATAGAACTGATATGATGAATTTTGCCTTATGGGAAACATGAGGAAAAAGTGTGAAAAAAATTGAAGAATTCTTTCATTTTTAGCTGCCGAAACGCAGTTTTCAATATTTTTTAGTTTAACAAGTAGCAAAATATTCATAAAAGATTATTATATGAAAAACCATAACAATTAAAAAAATCAAATTTTTTATTATTTCAAAGGTTTTCACGCCTATTAAAAATTTGTATTATATATACTTTATGTTAAGTAAAATTTTTTTAAAAGTTCTACAGAGTTCTTTTAAACTAGCACTTCTATAATTGGCGAATTTCAAACAAAATTGTTCATTATCTCGAAAACAATTGAGTTGCGTACCCGCGTTGACCAAATTTTTTTTTGTTTTAATGTTACGTTATTTATTAGTTTCTATATATTTCTAAATTTTTTACCATTATTTTTAATACACTCTGTATGCATAAATAATTGCATTTAGCCTTTTTAATTGCATTGATAAATATGATATTTTTATTAAATGCAATAATAATTTATTTTGTCATAAATAACTTATGTTTCTAGAAATCTTTGTTTGATGGTCTCGAAGAAGAAGATCCTGTGCTAACAGAAGCTTTCCAACCCCGGCCAAATGCAAAACGATTGGTATTACGGCCAAAATCGGCAACAAATTCCTCAGTTCAGTCTCCTGCAGAAAACGGAGAGTCTGTGGCGAGAAATAATTCCATGGATGATAAAGCAGATACATCAAATTTAGTACACAGTAACAACATTGAAGTTAATAACAAAGAAAATCACAGTCAAGATAATAATCGAATTGCAAATGATCGACGATCATCTACATCTTGGTAAGATAATAATATTCATATATCTTTTAGATTCTCTTTTCTCATATCTTTTAATTTTTGCTTCCTCATAGATGAAGGTTTGTTTTTGTGAAAAAATTTTTTTCTGAGATTTTGATGCCAGTGTGTTCAGAAAATTCTAAAACGTCAAAAAATCACATTTAAAAAAAATGTCCGTATGTGTGTATGTGCACCAAAAGGGCGTGGTTGCTCTAATTTCCGCAAATTTTGAGATATCGGGCTAAATATTTTTACATGATTAGAGTATCATTAAAGAATAGTTGGCATTGAAATTGGCGAGGATCGGTGAAAGGGTTCATCTTTTATAAAATTTTGAATTTTTTGGGACATGTCTGTACAGGCTCTAACTTCCACAAATTTTGAAATATCTTTCTCTATGAGGAAGCCAAAATTGAAAAACTCACTTGCTTTAAGGAGCTTAAGCTTTGTGAGCGAAATCAAATAATGAGGAAGCAATGTGCAAGTTTCTAATTTGCACAATTTTCATCTTGTTTAGAAATGTTTGTTCTTTTTTTTTAAGGAAATTATTGTAAAAAAACATTAAGAAAATATATAAATAATTTGAGCAATTTATGTGTAGGTTGAAGTCAACACTACCACGGAGAAATAAAGTTCCAGATGATGAATTACTTGAGGCCCAACGATCCCCATTTTCCGCAACAAATATACCCGAAGAAGTGAATAACACAGTGGCGGAATTTAGACCGCAAAATAATACATCAAATGTGAATCATTCCGATACGACTAATTCGATTGAAGTGCCGTTAAATTCTACTTTCGATGATAAAAGCTCTGCGAATCTTACCATGCAAAATGCAGGTAAATATTTTCAAATTAGTTTAATAAGAATTTTATGTATAATAAAAGGCACGCACGCACGCACGCACGCACGCACGCACGCACGCACGCACGCACGCACGCACGCACCGTTTTAAATAAGTTTAAAAACATTTCCTTTTTCATTTTTTTTTAGATTTGAGTCAGGAAACGAACGAAAATTCATTTTTGATGCTGCAATCAAACTGGAATTTAAATATGGCTAAAGTTATACTACGACGAGCGGGCTATTATACCATTCCGTCGCTCGATAAATTAGACGATTTTGTTTGTGGCGAGACATGTATTGTACCAAACTTTACCATTGGCCGCGAAGGTTATGGCAATGTCTACTTTCCAGATTCGTTCGATGTGTATGGTTTGAATCTCGATGAAATCGGTAAGTCATACAGATTAATCTATAGAGTGTCTATTTTTTGGAAAAACATAGGAAACCTGGAATTCTCAGGAACTTTTTTTGTATTTAAAAAAATCAGAAAATTCTCATGGAATTTTATTGGGACTCAAGGAATTTAAAAAAAAAATCACTCTTTGATAATTTCGCTCTTATTGTAAGCAATATATTGGCAATCTGCCAATAAACCAAGTGAATTATGTGTTTAAAATATATTAGAAATATATATCTATCTCTCTCTGTTTATATAATATATATATTCAATGTCTTAACAAAATATTGAATATGTAAATGTTTTTTATTGTAATTTTTAATGATAAAAAGTATAAATTTATGCAAGTGAAAAATGTTTATCTTATGAATGCTATTCATTTTTTTTTTAGTACATTGCAAATGTAGCACTTGAAACTTAACTGACTCTGTATTTTTTTTTTCATATAAGTAAAAAGCATTAGAACATGTACAATACAATAAAGCAACTTATTTTAAAAAGTTGCTTCAAAAAATCTTTTTAAAATATTCTTTTTACCTGGAATTTTGAACAAAAATATCTGGAAGGTCAGAGAGTTTTTAAGAAATTTTTTACAAGATTTGAGAGAGTAGACACATTTTGAATTTCTAATTTTTGTATACATATGCATATTGTTATCATATAATATATCACAATATGTATTATTCCAGTTTTACCGTGTAGTTGTTATACTATTAAATTAAATATCTATACCGCGATATAGTAAAGTTTAAATATTTTGTTTTTTTAAAGTAGAAATTGTATTGAATAATATTTTGCATTTTTTTGTTGTTGTTATAGTTCACTTCCGTCATAAGGAGGTGATCATTTATCCTGATGACGAAAAAAAACCACCGGTGGGGCAAGGTTTAAATCGAAGGGCACAAGTTACATTGGATAAAGTATGGCCACATGATAAATCGCTACACGAGCCAATCACAGATCCGCAGCGACTTGCCGCGATGAATTATGAGGGAAAATTGCGCAGAGTATCCGCGAAGCATGATACTCGTTTCCTTGAATATCGACCGGAGACCGGCTCCTGGGTGTTCAAAGTTGAACACTTTTCCAAATACGGTCTTAGCGATTCGGACGAAGATGACAACCAAGTTCTGTCAGCTTCGGAAGCGAAGAAACTGAAGGGGTTTCCCGTTTCCTTGCAAAAAGGAAAGATTGGCGATTCATCAACGGCAACGAGTAAAGATGCAATCAATGGAGCAATTAATGGAGCAATTAATGGAACGGTTGGTGGCACAAAGATAGAAAACGCCAAGCATTTAGACAGCGTTGAGAGCAATTTTTTAGGGGAAACTCAGATTCGATTCGCTCACGACGATCGCGATAAATGGGAAATGGTTATCCATCCAGTTAGGGATACTCCGGTCGGCCGTTCTGTTTTCATTTCTAGAGATTATAGTTACGAAAAACGGATGACTGTCAGCCCGGTCGGTGATAATGCTCGAGTCGCTGGTACAGACAGCCACAAAGTGCAACTTATGAAGGCGAGTTTCTTTGATACAAACGATGAAGATATGAGCGAGGAAATCAATCACGACATATTTCCCTCCGTACAGAAAACTCTGACCCGTTATTTTCCGGATGTTACGGAAATTAAGAACGACGAAGCTTTGTGCAACACTACAACGTTGCGATCAAGTATTATCATGAATGAAATACCGTTTTCCATGAGCCAAGAAAATTTACTCTCTATATCGGGCAAAAAGTTGCAGCTGTCGTGCGTCAATGCAAAAAACAAGCAAGCAATTATCGAGAGAGTAATCCCTCCAATTGCAGCTACTCCAGTTACGAGTGTATTAAAGTATCACTATGAAATTGTACCACTCAAACAATCAAGATTGAACAAATTGCGATTTCGCTGCATTGCCGACACTGGTATACAGATGGGCAGAATGTTCCGACCGAGTTGGGGAGCCGGATTGACATTATTGTCCTTAAGCACGCAGGAACAGGCAACTAAGGTGCAACTACAAAGCACATTCAGTCAACTAAGTCATTATGTTTCCGGTCGTTTAGCCAATGATATTACATCAACGGCGATCGTTCAACGTCTGCAGATTCTGAGCGGTGACGAGCACGACATAACAATGTTCAAAGATAGCATAGAGCGTCATTTGAGGATCCAGCTGGATCATTGCGTGATGGGTCACGAGAGAGATTGTCCTATTTTCAATGTAGCGACCGATAATGCAAATAGAGCGTTGCAATTGCATTGCACGTTGGCGCAGGATCTCGTGGAGAAGGAGCAAAGATTGAGCGAGAACATCAATGATGAACATCGTAGCATCGCTGAACGATCATTTCGTCAATACGCGAGTATCGTGTGGACGTTGTGCGTGGCGCTTTGGGGAAATTATACTGATCAGGATGTAACTAGTAATGCCAACGAAGAACATTATAATGTCATGGTGAGGAGGGAAGCGGTAAGCGAATGGTTAAAGAACGTGGTACAGAAAACGGTCGAGCAAGAAATAAAAAATGTCGACGGTGAAATTAAGAATTCCCATGAGAAGATGATACTATCGCTGCTCTCGGCTTGTAAACTCGAGGACGCTTGCCAGGAAGCACGAAAAGCTGGAGATCATTGTCTGGCATTGTTGATGGCGCAACTACGAGGCGGCATGCCAGTCAAGGAACTTATTAAACAGCAACTTGCGTTGTGGCAACAGACCGATGTAGACGAAAATCTCACAATCGATCGTCTGAAATTGTTCATGTTGGCGGCGGGTGAACCGCTAATTTCCAGCAAAAAAGGAACCGTTATTTTCCGGATGTTACGGAAATTAAGAACGACGAAGCTTTGTGCAACACTACAACGTTGCGATCAAGTATTATCATGAATGAAATACCGTTTTCCACGAGCCAAGAAAATTTACTCTCTATATCGGGCAAAAAGTTGCAGCTGTCGTGCGTCAATGCAAAAAACAAGCAAGCAATTATCGAGAGAGTAATCCCTCCAATTGCAGCTACTCCAGTTACGAGTGTATTAAAGTATCACTATGAAATTGTACCACTCAAACAATCAAGATTGAACAAATTGCGATTTCGCTGCATTGCCGACACTGGTATACAGATGGGCAGAATGTTCCGACCGAGTTGGGGAGCCGGATTGACATTATTGTCCTTAAGCACGCAGGAACAGGCAACTAAGGTGCAACTACAAAGCACATTCAGTCAACTAAGTCATTATGTTTCCGGTCGTTTAGCCAATGATATTACATCAACGGCGATCGTTCAACGTCTGCAGATTCTGAGCGGTGACGAGCACGACATAACAATGTTCAAAGATAGCATAGAGCGTCATTTGAGGATCCAGCTGGATCATTGCGTGATGGGTCACGAGAGAGATTGTCCTATTTTCAATGTAGCGACCGATAATGCAAATAGAGCGTTGCAATTGCATTGCACGTTGGCGCAGGATCTCGTGGAGAAGGAGCAAAGATTGAGCGAGAACATCAATGATGAACATCGTAGCATCGCTGAACGATCATTTCGTCAATACGCGAGTATCGTGTGGACGTTGTGCGTGGCGCTTTGGGGAAATTATACTGATCAGGATGTAACTAGTAATGCCAACGAAGAACATTATAATGTCATGGTGAGGAGGGAAGCGGTAAGCGAATGGTTAAAGAACGTGGTACAGAAAACGGTCGAGCAAGAAATAAAAAATGTCGACGGTGAAATTAAGAATTCCCATGAGAAGATGATACTATCGCTGCTCTCGGCTTGTAAACTCGAGGACGCTTGCCAGGAAGCACGAAAAGCTGGAGATCATTGTCTGGCATTGTTGATGGCGCAACTACGAGGCGGCATGCCAGTCAAGGAACTTATTAAACAGCAACTTGCGTTGTGGCAACAGACCGATGTAGACGAAAATCTCACAATCGATCGTCTGAAATTGTTCATGTTGGCGGCGGGGGAACCGCTCATTTCCAGCAAACATGGAACTATCAATGTGTGTGAAGATTTGGATTGGAAGCGGGCCTTTGCCATTCATTTCTGGTACTTATCGTCGCCAACGTGTTCAATCACGGACGCCTTGGATCTTTATGAAGCGTCGTTCAACATGACAGAGTATACTCAAATATACGCGGCGATACCAGAACCTGAATATAGAAAAAATGATTATGATGCCGAGTTAAGTACTGGCAAGCAAATATACGATCTTTGCTTTCATCTGTTGAAATTATACTGTACAGGAAATCACGATCTGGGAGAACTTTTGAATCCGTTATCCTATACCGCCAATCCTTTGGATTACAGACTGAGGTAATTTTAAATCAAAGACATTATTTATAATTTGACCGAATAAGCGTTGAATCGTATAATAATTAATTCTAGCACGATCAACAGCAAAAAAACAAGATCAAATATGGTTTTAATAATAGGTGTATCAGAAATCTTAATGTTGAAATATATTATTTAGATTTGAAAGAAATATGGTCGTAAATATTGAGATGTATCAGAAATGTCTTAATGTAGAAATATCAAAAAGAATTTTTGGAAAGATTTAACAATCAAATTGAAGGAATAAAGGCAAATAGAAACCGATTGCAAGTTACAAAATTATAGTAGAAAAATTACAATCATTTTATTAAAAAAAAATAATTCTGGATAAATAACATGTAAGAAATAAAGAGCACTTATAATATACGAGAGAAAGAGAGATCATAAATTTTGTAATCAAATTGAGATCAAGAGATCATCTAAAATAAAAATCAAAACGTCTTGCAACTTTTTGGATTTATTTGATGTATGAGATGGCGAATATATATTATTAACTTTTCACATTTATATTTTTTTGGCAGCTGGTTAATACAACAAATACTCGTAGCTCTGGGTTATACGCATCTTTCCGATCATGTTGCCGCATTAACGCATACGAATTTTGCGACCCAATTAGAGGCATACGGACTTTGGCATTGGGCGATCTTCGTGATGTTGCATCTACGAGATTCGTCTAGACGACAAATTGCTGTAAAGGATCTGCTATTACGTCACATTGAAATAGACGATTCTCCGGAATATGTGAAACGTGAACAATTTCTGAAGGAAGAGCTTGGTATATCGTCAGTTTGGATTCATCAAGCTAAAGCCATCAAAAGTAGCATCGATAAAAGGTACTTAGTATTAAGATTTTTGTGTTTTTATTGCAGCCATATTGGGTTGTATTTCAAAATTTACTCCTTAGAGTAGAGCATTCGATTGACCAATCAGAATAAAAGAAATAAAGAGTTCTTTGTCTTAATTGATCAGTCAAATGCTACTTTACTTCAAGCAGTGAATTTGAGAACGCAACTTTGAATTATGACATTAGAAGCGAGAAATTATATAACTTTCTATTTTTTACGAAATACATCAAAATAAATAAATTTTTTAAATACGGTCTCTCGTGTTCAATAATATGGATTAACGAAAAACTCTCTTGTTGATTGTTAATTAATAAATAACTGTAAATCTTAGTCACCATAAATTTATTTATTTTCGGTTTATTTTCGCTGAAAATTTAGGACATATGCACAAGTGATTTATAAATGAATTTTTAAAATAGGAGAGCAAAAAAAGTTTTCGGTGTATTTTATTAATTTTTATTATCAAACATGAATAGTGACATCTAAAAAAAGTTATTTATTTCGATGTATGTTGCAAGACATAATATATATATATATATGTATATATTAAGACTCTTTGATTGATAATGAATTATGTCTTGCAACATTCACACGCACACACACACACACACACACATACATACGCGCGCACACACGCGCACACACACACACACACACACACACACATATATATATATATATATATATATATATTGGAATATATTTATATAAATTTTAAAAACAAGAATTGCTATATTATACATACATGCGTACTCATTCGTCAATTCAAAAAAATTCTAGGCATATTTACAGAATTTCGATATGCAATTTTTAATTTTTTGCAGGTTTGGTGAAGCAGCTTGGTATTACATTCAGGCCGAGCAATGGGCTCAAGCTCATGAAATTATTATAGAGTATCTGGCAGCTGATGCTATAATAAATGGTATTATTTTTTTTTTCACACATTAATGTAGTATATTATAGTATATTACAAACAATGATTCTGATACATGATACAATGATACATAAAACTGAATATTAAGGGCCATTTCATCGATTTCAATGACCTCGTAGTATGTTATGGAGAAAATGTCACTGTGTGTGATTGTCCCCACTTGGCCAAACATTAAATGTCGCTAACTTATAATTTTGAAATTATAAGCATTAAAAGTTGAAAGTCTACCCCACATCATTAAATGTATCGGGCGCAAAACGAGATCTAAAAATGTACAGTTTTGCATAGGTTTCCGACTTTCCACACAAAGCGAGATCCACATCATAGTATATTGTTTCAAATGCAAAATAAAATTTAAAAACATCTAACTACTTTCTGCATTGGGCCCCAAGTTTGTTAGAACAGATGTTGCCATGTGTCTGCTATAAATTTTTACCTGTAAAAAGGCTACAAATTTAATATAATATGTTAATTTTGATTATGTCGACGGACTGTCAGCAGAACTGTAACAGAGCCTACTGACACATACTTTATCAATGACATCAGTAAAATCATCCTTTAATATTCAATTTCAACCGAACAATTTTGCAAAATATTATTCTATTTTTCAGAAAACTATGAATATTTGAAATCATTGTTAATTCCACTAATACCAGCCGAATGTAGCAGTACAATTAACAGTTGGGCATATCAAGGACAGCTCTTGTGGGAATATATGGAAATAACTAATGAAATCCAAAATCTGTTAAAATCTACTCCGGATTACCATGGAATAACTTATCAGTTGGAAGCATTAAAGCCACGGTTAACGAGCTTGTGTCATAAGATCGATCAATTCCCATGTCCAACTGCTAAACATAGGTGCGTCAATACATGTTATTTTCAGCCATTATTTTCTCAATTTATATTAATGCAATTTTTCATATTTCTAGATTATGTCAAGCCGAAATTGCAAAAAGAACTCTACATTTGGCTAGAAATCTGTTATTACTGCAGAAAAATGAAAAGAAATCTGTCACAAAGTTGTTAGTTCGTCTAATATCTCAGTTACCGTTACCAGAGGATTATGCGCAGCAAGAACTTCGACCCATCGTAAATATGCGCGTAACTGAAGTAATGTCGCAATGAATAACACACATAAGTTAATTTATTAATTATGTAGTTGTAAAGCTTTTACATCTCTAATGTAACAGAAGATATGATGATTTTTTTAATTTTCCTTGTACACAATTAAGTTATAATTTCACACAGATAAGTATAAAGTTTGTTTTAAAACTCTTCAGCAATCCCTTGATACAGTATATATATACAGGGTGATCCGGAATAACCGTTTCTCCTTAAAAGATCGTATTCTTGAATCAATTCTAAGACAATTTTTCCTTTACGAAAATTTTGTCCGCTGGTACAGACAGCCACAAAGTGCAACTTATGAAGGCGAGTTTCTTTGATACAAACGATGAAGATATGAGCGAGGAAATCAATCACGACATATTTCCCTCCGTACAGAAAACTCTGACCCGTTATTTTCCGGATGTTACGGAAATTAAGAACGACGAAGCTTTGTGCAACACTACAACGTTGCGATCAAGTATTATCATGAATGAAATACCGTTTTCCACGAGCCAAGAAAATTTACTCTCTATATCGGGCAAAAAGTTGCAGCTGTCGTGCGTCAATGCAAAAAACAAGCAAGCAATTATCGAGAGAGTAATCCCTCCAATTGCAGCTACTCCAGTTACGAGTGTATTAAAGTATCACTATGAAATTGTACCACTCAAACAATCAAGATTGAACAAATTGCGATTTCGCTGCATTGCCGACACTGGTATACAGATGGGCAGAATGTTCCGACCGAGTTGGGGAGCCGGATTGACATTATTGTCCTTAAGCACGCAGGAACAGGCAACTAAGGTGCAACTACAAAGCACATTCAGTCAACTAAGTCATTATGTTTCCGGTCGTTTAGCCAATGATATTACATCAACGGCGATCGTTCAACGTCTGCAGATTCTGAGCGGTGACGAGCACGACATAACAATGTTCAAAGATAGCATAGAGCGTCATTTGAGGATCCAGCTGGATCATTGCGTGATGGGTCACGAGAGAGATTGTCCTATTTTCAATGTAGCGACCGATAATGCAAATAGAGCGTTGCAATTGCATTGCACGTTGGCGCAGGATCTCGTGGAGAAGGAGCAAAGATTGAGCGAGAACATCAATGATGAACATCGTAGCATCGCTGAACGATCATTTCGTCAATACGCGAGTATCGTGTGGACGTTGTGCGTGGCGCTTTGGGGAAATTATACTGATCAGGATGTAACTAGTAATGCCAACGAAGAACATTATAATGTCATGGTGAGGAGGGAAGCGGTAAGCGAATGGTTAAAGAACGTGGTACAGAAAACGGTCGAGCAAGAAATAAAAAATGTCGACGGTGAAATTAAGAATTCCCATGAGAAGATGATACTATCGCTGCTCTCGGCTTGTAAACTCGAGGACGCTTGCCAGGAAGCACGAAAAGCTGGAGATCATTGTCTGGCATTGTTGATGGCGCAACTACGAGGCGGCATGCCAGTCAAGGAACTTATTAAACAGCAACTTGCGTTGTGGCAACAGACCGATGTAGACGAAAATCTCACAATCGATCGTCTGAAATTGTTCATGTTGGCGGCGGGGGAACCGCTCATTTCCAGCAAACATGGAACTATCAATGTGTGTGAAGATTTGGATTGGAAGCGGGCCTTTGCCATTCATTTCTGGTACTTATCGTCGCCAACGTGTTCAATCACGGACGCCTTGGATCTTTATGAAGCGTCGTTCAACATGACAGAGTATACTCAAATATACGCGGCGATACCAGAACCTGAATATAGAAAAAATGATTATGATGCCGAGTTAAGTACTGGCAAGCAAATATACGATCTTTGCTTTCATCTGTTGAAATTATACTGTACAGGAAATCACGATCTGGGAGAACTTTTGAATCCGTTATCCTATACCGCCAATCCTTTGGATTACAGACTGAGGTAATTTTAAATCAAAGACATTATTTATAATTTGACCGAATAAGCGTTGAATCGTATAATAATTAATTCTAGCACGATCAACAGCAAAAAAACAAGATCAAATATGGTTTTAATAATAGGTGTATCAGAAATCTTAATGTTGAAATATATTATTTAGATTTGAAAGAAATATGGTCGTAAATATTGAGATGTATCAGAAATGTCTTAATGTAGAAATATCAAAAAGAATTTTTGGAAAGATTTAACAATCAAATTGAAGGAATAAAGGCAAATAGAAACCGATTGCAAGTTACAAAATTATAGTAGAAAAATTACAATCATTTTATTAAAAAAAAATAATTCTGGATAAATAACATGTAAGAAATAAAGAGCACTTATAATATACGAGAGAAAGAGAGATCATAAATTTTGTAATCAAATTGAGATCAAGAGATCATCTAAAATAAAAATCAAAACGTCTTGCAACTTTTTGGATTTATTTGATGTATGAGATGGCGAATATATATTATTAACTTTTCACATTTATATTTTTTTGGCAGCTGGTTAATACAACAAATACTCGTAGCTCTGGGTTATACGCATCTTTCCGATCATGTTGCCGCATTAACGCATACGAATTTTGCGACCCAATTAGAGGCATACGGACTTTGGCATTGGGCGATCTTCGTGATGTTGCATCTACGAGATTCGTCTAGACGACAAATTGCTGTAAAGGATCTGCTATTACGTCACATTGAAATAGACGATTCTCCGGAATATGTGAAACGTGAACAATTTCTGAAGGAAGAGCTTGGTATATCGTCAGTTTGGATTCATCAAGCTAAAGCCATCAAAAGTAGCATCGATAAAAGGTACTTAGTATTAAGATTTTTGTGTTTTTATTGCAGCCATATTGGGTTGTATTTCAAAATTTACTCCTTAGAGTAGAGCATTCGATTGACCAATCAGAATAAAAGAAATAAAGAGTTCTTTGTCTTAATTGATCAGTCAAATGCTACTTTACTTCAAGCAGTGAATTTGAGAACGCAACTTTGAATTATGACATTAGAAGCGAGAAATTATATAACTTTCTATTTTTTACGAAATACATCAAAATAAATAAATTTTTTAAATACGGTCTCTCGTGTTCAATAATATGGATTAACGAAAAACTCTCTTGTTGATTGTTAATTAATAAATAACTGTAAATCTTAGTCACCATAAATTTATTTATTTTCGGTTTATTTTCGCTGAAAATTTAGGACATATGCACAAGTGATTTATAAATGAATTTTTAAAATAGGAGAGCAAAAAAAGTTTTCGGTGTATTTTATTAATTTTTATTATCAAACATGAATAGTGACATCTAAAAAAAGTTATTTATTTCGATGTATGTTGCAAGACATAATATATATATATATATGTATATATTAAGACTCTTTGATTGATAATGAATTATGTCTTGCAACATTCACACGCACACACACACACACACACACATACATACGCGCGCACACACGCGCACACACACACACACACACACACACACACACACATACACTCGTTCCTTCCTTCTTCCTCTCTTCTTTTTCTTCCTCCTCCTCCTCCTCCTCCTCGCCTTTTTTCTTTTTATTTTATTTCACACCCTCGTTATTATACTTGAGGTTAACCCGTGCACACACACGCACACATACGGCACTCGGAGTATACGACGACGGATCGGCCAACACCGTCGAGCATAATCTCAACGGGACGCGGCCGCGGCCACGACAACAACGTCCCCGCGAAGCCGCGGATACGGGATGCAGCACCGGAACCTCGCGCGATACCGCATCCTAATTTATCTCACTTGGCCACGCGCGCACGTACACACACACACATTCATACCCACGGTCAAAGACGCGACGAGACCCCCCCACAAGCCGGATGCTCCACGACGACTCGCGGCGACTATCGATGATACTGACGAGGACGGGACCGTGTGATGCGAGCGGGACCGAGGACCGAGCCACCGAGCGTGAACCAGAGCGCGCGACGGGCAGCCCGCTCGATTACCTCGCGTATCCGCCGCCGCGGCGCTTCAGACGCTTTGGCGCGCGATTCAAATCTTGTCCCATATAGAGAGAAAAATCAGATTACTCTGTACGAAAATTTTGTCAGAAGCTTAGTTTTTAAATTATAAAAAGAAATAGTTAGCGAATTACGGGACGAATACAGAAGATAGGCAGGGGTGGCGCAACTCACCGTCCGATGCAGGCGCTTATGTGAGGCGCTCGCTACAGCTGATCCAGCGCTGTTTGCTACACGCGATGGGTGTGTGTGTGTGTGTGCGTGCGTGCGCGCGCGTATGTGTGTGTGAGAGAACGTGTATGTGTGTATATTACGCGTACACACATTCTCACATACACACACACCCATCGCGTGTAGCAAACAACGCTCGATCAGCTGTAGCGAGCGCCTCACGTAAGCGCCTGCATCGGACGGTGAGTTACACCGCCCCTGTCTACTTGTCCCATAATTCGCTAACTATTTCTTTTTATAATTTAAAAACTAAGCTTCAGACAAAATTTTCGTAAAGGAAAAATCGTCTTAGAATTGATTCAGGAATACGACCTTTTAAGGACAAACGGTTGTTCCGGATCACTCTGTATAACAGGTAGCGATATAATAAATCACGTAATTCTCATACAATAGATAAAACTCGAAATTATAAAAACTTAAAATACATTAACACGTGATCATTTAGATCTTTTTTATATTTTTATTGTGATTCGCGCACAAAATTATTAAGTAACTTAAGAAGTGTATATGGCGATATATATAATGCAATCCAGTAGAATGTAGGTGAAATTAAGAAATAATTCTGTATTCTTTAGAGAAACATTTCATACATATATTTTTTTTGTACAATATATTATCACTTGATAAAGGATAAAATTGGACATCTTTTAAAACATAGTTTGAAATACAACTCTTCTGGAATGTATTTTGTATGACATATATCATATAATATAATCATTATTTGTTCATGTATAGTATATATTCGTATATTCAGATACTTCTTTTCTAGCTAATGAAATTTAGATAAAAATATGAATCGATGTAATTAGTAAATATAATATGTTTTTCTACGTACGCGCGACAGACTTGTACATTATGCTAAGTTGAAAATATTCAAAGAGATGTATTTTGGAAAATTCTTGACGATATGCGCGCGCAAGAATTTTTTCCATTATTGGCGGAACGGATACTTTTATGAATGGAAACGAAAATAATTATATGTGGTTACGATAGAGGAAAATGATAGAATACATATATGTGTATAAGGAATATTTGTATAAATGAAATTAAGTTTTTCACTCTTTTTAAAATTGAAATAAATAAAAAGAAATATCTCCTCTTAGATACACACGTACGCACGCACGTTTCTACACACACGCTGCGCGCGCACACCACACACACATACACACGCACGCACGCGCGTACACACATACACACATACACAAATACACATATACATACCGTTTCTGCATATTATAGGCAGAAGTTTAAATGGAACACATTTTGTATACGAATATAAATACAGCACAATATAAAAATTATATATAGATATATACAACTGTCATAAAAATTTTCTTTTATTAAATTTAGATTTATTATTTGAAGATATATAACATTTATAAATCTGTTTACATATTTCCTACGATTTACAACTACATAAATGATTTCTTATCACTCTTCAATGTGAACGGATCCGTTAAGTACACATTGAAAAATTTTTAATGGATATATATATTCTCTAAAATGCTTAGTTTTTGAAAGAAAACAGGTGTACGGGTGGTCTAGGACACCCTGTATATACACCTATGTTTTCTTATCAGTAAACGCACATTCTAATATTTATTCCATCTATAAGAAAAAATATTAGAAAAAGATTTTTTTAGAAAATTAATATTTTATGCACAAAATGATTTCTCATAAAAATCTAGATATATATTGTGCTTTATTTTATAAATTCGTATTTTTTAATATATGAATTAAAAGAAGCTTAATATCAACAAAAATGTATATTTTTGTTCAGAAATCGGTCTTGTACTCGTATCAGTGGCAACTGATATGTTTATCTTAATATCTATTCTATGGATTAACACAAACTTTCTTTCTACTTTATAAGATCAATTATCTTTGAATTTAAATGATTTTTCAAATAAAAGTATTTATGTATGTACGGTGTGTGTATATGTATGTGTGTGTGTATATACAAAACATTTGCATAAATTTTATCTTTTAAAATCAATACAACTTCGTTTATAAAGTAAAAGTATGCATGTATATATATATGTATGTATGTATGTATATTACATAAAAATATAATTAATCAATTATTAATTGCCAAAATCAAAATTATCGAGAAAAAGTTATATTCACTACAAAATCATAAGCTAATTATTTATTACTTAATTACTATATTTTAATTAAATATTTTGAGAAATTATTTTAAATGATTGAGAATCGACAAATGATCAACAATTAGCCTTGTGCCGAGTATATCTAGAATTTGTTATACATAGATATTCGATACTCAACAATTTTATCCCTAAATAGCTCTGACAAAAAGAGATTTTTCACGTCCCAGCTATTATACAATCTGCGCGCATAACGCTATTCCTGCCGTACTTGGACAAGTATAATATGATGTTACTTCGCCTCGCGCCGTCAAGAAAGGCTCTCGCTGTCTTTATGTAAGATATAGATATATGTTAAATCAATGATACCGGGCTTGCGCCGCGTTAAACTCCCGTAACGTGGCGTAAGGTTGCAACTGCTACCCCCGCCAACGAAACGGTGCCGGGTACCGGGCAGCCTCTCCCTCCACCATCTTCTGTCGCTTTTATCCCTTCTTTCTTCTCCTGCGTGCTCCGTATCCACCACCTGCCACCTATACCCTTCTCACGCAATATACCCCATTACTCCCTTTTGCCTTTCCCATCTTTCGATACCGCGACTCGCGAGACTCCAAGCTTTACGAAACGAATTGCAATGGCCGAGAAAGCTTCAACAAATTTTAACGATTCCAGTCTAACAGTGGTTGCTGACATGCTGATATTATCGCTATCGCTGCTATGGGTGTTTCATTAAAAGGGTTCTTTATAACTTTTTGCAGCATTGCCGCAGAAGTAGTAGAAAGATTCACACTTCTTCTCCTCCTCATCCCTTCTCGCTGAAATAAAACATACTCTCAAAACACCACGAGCTGGCTCGTTGATCGTACATCATAGACATAGTAAAGAGTAATGTGCGCGCGCCGAGATACTGGGAGGTGATGGGAGCAACGGCGGAGATGGTGATAGCAGTGGGAGGTGGTAAGAGCAGACGATAATGGGAGGTGGCGGCGGCAGCGATGGCGATGGGAGGTGGAGGCGGCGGTGATGGTGGGGGTGGGAGGCGGTGAAGATGGGAGGTGGTAGTGGCGGCGGAGATAGTAGCACGACGAACGACGTGATACGCCGCGTTGCGCGTATTTCTGCGCGATTTTTTTACATTGCGCGAGCCAAGTTGAGGTGGACTCGTTCATAAAATGTCGCGAAATCGTGCGTCGATTTTGATCGTCGGTTTACGTTTCGCCCCTTAGATACTCACGCGCTACCCATCTTTTCCGCGCGTGCTACTCTCTGCTCTGTCCGCTAAAGCCCCGCTCCAATCTCCTTTCCCGCCGCGTTCGACCTTCTTCTCTTTCTCCATTTAACCCTCTCGCTCCCTCCTATCCCTTTCCTTCTCCCCCTATCGTATATACCACCCATGTTCCATTCTTTCTAGTTCTCTACGCGTTACGGCGTGAACTACTACTGAATTCGCGCGACAACGCGGCGTCGCGAATTACCAGAATAGTGAGTGCGAATAAATCGCGTCGTCGACAACGGTAGCGGAGGCGCAAGGAGAAAATATGCCGCCTTCGCTAAGCGCAATGAAATCATGTGGTCGCGCTCGGCTCCGGAGGAGGCAGTGACATTTCAAATGCACACGTTCCGGAACGATACACATAGCCCGGAACGCTGCCGCCGCCGCCTTCCTCCTTCCGCCTTCCTCCGTTGAAATGATCGAATCGACGGACGGACCCGTCATCGTGGCGCATGTAGCGTGGACCACTATTGGCGAAAATGGAAAAACATCAGAGATGAAGACGAAGCTTCATCACTGTGTGTGATCCGATTTTGCGACTTGTACATATATTTGTACACACGTGCGAGCGAGTGACAAATCGAGGGTTACGAGTTCGCGATATTAGTGAGTAGTAGGCTAGATGCGCTTGAGATTGAGCCGGAGGAAGAACGAGAGGAAGAAATCCGAACACGGTGGCGACCTATGGACGATGCGCGAAGATCATTAAATCGACGGGCGTCGAGCCGGTACGTCGTTGGTCCCTGGTCCCTGGTTCGACAATCGATCGCCAATCAGACGAAATTATCGCGAGGAAAAGGGGTTTACGCAGGCTACGTGCTGATAACAACGAGAAAGGGGGAGATAGAAAGGAATTCGAGAAATAATTGTTGAGAACTGTTGAAATAATGTTCCTGCGCATTGACGACAGGCTACTATGCTTTGGGATACTGTTTCTATTATGGATAGGCTCGAGTTGTCAGCAGGAGGAGGACATACCCCACAATGAGTAAGTGTTCGCGCTTAAGCAATTCCTTATACTTAGCGATTAAACGATAGATGGTATGAAAAATAACCGGCAGACTTGTGCATTGTCGGACATCGATGATGCATGAGGAGCCTAAAAGACAAAAATGCAAGAAAGGAGGGATGATGGAAAAAGTGAAGGAGTGGTGGCGCGGTAGATGTGCGAGCGATCGGACGGATGGGGTGCATAAAGCTCGACGAACAAAACTCGATAAGGAGTAGAAGGAGTGCGAGGGCAAAGGCAACCAGGTAGATGAAGGCGAGAACGAGCATGCGGTAATAGGGTGGGGAAATAAAGGAGCGCACAAGGGAGGAAAGGAGGGCGAGTAAAAAATAGTGTTAGCGAGAGCGGTGGGAGGGGGAGAGAAGACGAGAAACGTCGAGGATATGAGCAATGTTAGAAGAAAGGCGAATATGCAGGATTGAAGGGAAGATAGCAAAATGAGAGAAGTAAAAGAAGGGATATAAACGGAAAAATCTAAAAGAAAGATGCATTGGACTCTGGAGAAAGAATAAGAAATACGAAGAAATAGAGAGAGAGAGAGAGAGAGAGAGAGAGAGATATGGAAAGACAATTATATGCGAAAAGCGTGAGAGGAGGCATAGAAAGGAAGCGCATTAATCGGTTGCTGTTGGCTATATATATGAGTAAATGGAAAACGAGATATATAGAATGAAAAAGAATTTAAGCATGAGAAAAGATTCAATATAAAAAAATTTAATAATTATATCTTTTTAAGCCTAAAAAGCAGTTTCTCTGAATTAAGGAAACAAACGACAAATGCGCAAATTATACAACTGTTTATGCATATTGAAATTGCAACAGAAAATCATCTGCTTTAAAGTAATTAAGAGTTCAGCAGATGATTTTCTGTTATATAATTCTATATATTATTATTAGAAAATATAATTATATATTTTCTTTCTATTATAATTAATTTGTAACATAAATTTTGCGTGAGAGACAATATTTAGCCGATTTATATTTTTTATCTTAAGGCCTTTTTTTCATGTGTATCACAATTTTAATAAAGAAAAGTATAAAAAAACATATTTATTGCAATTATGATTAATTATTTTTTATAAATTATTTCTATTAATTAGCATAAAATGATAATGTCATAAGTTAATAAAAAGCGATAAATCTTAATTATTAATTTCATATATATATACATATATTCTGTTTTTCTTTTTTGCAAATCTTTTAATCTTTGCTGAATGTGCATGTATTTAAAATTTAATAATAATATTATAATTATTACAGAGTGAAAAACTGGGCCTTGAAGTTTGGCGTGGATTTATGGGAGTTTGGTAAACAAGTGACCAAAATGGGCGAGATACAGAGAGTAAGATAATATATATACATATATACATATATACATATATATATATATATATATATATACTTTTCTGTTCAGTTTACTGTGCTCTATGTGCTCACGAGCGTTGTCAAGGGTGCTTTGAGACACCCTGTATATATATATATACAGGGTGCGGCATTTATAGCGACGCACGCAAATATCTCGTAAAGTAAGCAAGATCGAAAAAAATGTTTTATACAAAAGTTGTAGGGTTCAGAAGGGGACACCCACCTTGTATATATAATATATCAAAAAAACACGTTAGATTCGATAGATTATATATAGGTTGATATATAATACATAGGTTGATCTTTCATAAATACTCTAAATTTTCAAGAGGAGTGAATATTTTTGAATGCAAAAAGAGACGAATGCGGTAAATGGCTTGTCATAAATTACTCGACAAATACAAGATGTTTCGGTAAAGGTGCGCAATCGTCTCGTGGACATATACAGCAGGTAGAAATAACCCCATAAGTTCTTTAAAAATTTTTTTCTACATCTTTACCGAAATATTGGTCTTTAAAGTTAAAATTTGAGAAGCATTTTTCTTAAATAATTTTTATATCAATCTGCAAATTTTAATAATTTGTAATAATTATTTTTATATTAAATAAAGGTTTTTAAATTATCGTAATAAATTTCTTGATATCATGGAGAGTTAAGAGCGAACCACCTTTAAATCATCTTTTAACTTACGAAACTTTGAAGTTGATATGTTTTGCTTCCTCATAGAGGAAGCTTTGTTTTCGTGACAAAATTTTTTTCCGAGTTTTCTATGTTAATGTGTTTAGAATGTTCCAAAACGTCGAAAAATCATATTCCTACGCAATTTATTGTATAACCTCTAACTTCCGCAATTTTTGAGATATTAAATTTTTTTTTACATGGATAAAGTATCATTCAAGGATGGTTGGTATTGAATTTGATGAGAATCGTTGAAAAGGTTCATTTTTTATAAAATTTTTAATTTTTTGAGAAATGTCTGTACAGATAGTTGAGATATTGGATTAAATTTTTTTACATGAGTAGAGTATTATTAAAGGATGTTTGATATTGAATTTAGTGAGGATCGGTGAAAGAAATCATTTTAATTTTTATTTCGCTCACAAAGCTTCCTCTATGAGGAAGCAAAAATTGAAAAATCCACATGCTTAAAGCAGCTTAATTTTATTTTTAAATATTTTTTTAGATTCTCCACATCCTTTTCTAAAAAAAGGTACTCTTGTTTTATTTCGTAAAAACTATGTTCGAGAAAAACACAGTTACCAATACAAAGTAAACTTTTATTCGAATAATAGGGCAATGATTTTGAATGATACGAAATTGCATTAATTGTATTAAAACTTATTGAAACGAAATAGATTTAACCGAAATTATAAAGAAATGCTCGATATAACTTTCCCCTCTTCTAACGCATTTTCGTGCACGACGGATTAATAACGATTGCTGCATCTGCCATAATATTCCAGAATCATTTCTTATGTGTTCACAATTATAAATAATTCTCTTCAATAATTATTATCTTGTATCAATCGATGTTGCATAAACAAAGCTTTTTAAATGAGCCCACAAGTAAAACTACAATTGGATTTAAATCAGGAGTTCAAAGTGGCCAAGAAATAGGTCCTTCTCGACCTATCCATTGATTTGCATTCATCTTATCCAGGTGCTCTCTCATTATTTTTTGTGATTTCGGCTAAATCTATTTCGTTTCAATAAGTTTTCACACAATCAATGCAATTTTGTATCATTTAAAAAATCATTGTTCTATTATCTGAATAAAAGTTTACTTTGTATTGTTTAAAGGTGTTTTTCTCGAAAACAATTAGCTTTTTTAAAATAAAACAAGAGTACCTTTTTCTTAGAAAAAGATACATAGAATCTAAAAAAATATTAAAAAAAAATATATATATATGTATATATATAAACGTACAAACTTCAAAGTTTTAAAGTTGTTAGAAGGCTTAAAGATGGTCCGCGCCTGGTTCTCCGACATAGTATCAAGAAATTTATCACATTATTTTAAAGATCTTTACATATTATAAAAATAATTATTACAAATTATTAAAATCTGCAGAGTGATATAAAAGTTATTTAAGAAAAATGCTTCTCAAATTTTAACTTTAAAGACAAATATCTCGGTAAATGCGTCGTAGAAAAAAATTTATAGGAATTTATGGAGAGTTATTTTTATCTGCTCTACATGGCCACGAAAGATTGCCCACCTTTGCTGAAACACTCTGTAAATACTGTATATAAATACTCCGTATATAAATATTATTTTTAATAATAGTTTCTATATAAATTTATGAAAAAAATAAAAAGATGCTTGAAGTTGTAAAAAACTTTGTTTATCAGAATATATATATAACAAAAAAGTAAAAAAAAAAGTTTTTTTTTGTGTTTTGCCAGACATTTGACGATTTTTATGCAAAAATTCAATATTTAGTAAATAGCATTCTTTTCTAATAATTTTTTTTTGTCAATTAAAATAAAAAATTATTGGAAAAATGACGACAAAAAGATCAATTTCTGAAAATTTGTGGCATTTTTTGCAAATTTTTTAAAATGTAAAAATAAATTTTTTCAATAATATTTAGATTCAATTAATAGATAATTTAGTTACGAAACATTCTGGTATCTATATTTTTTCTCGAAAAATCAAGGTACAACTGAGAAAAAATATAATTTTGAAAAAAGATCTGTTTAAAATTTCACAATATATTTTCAACATAATAAAAAGTGTCAACTTGATGCATTGTCAGAACTGTTTTGGATTCTAAAATATGGTATCGAGAAGTTTTTCGATAATGGGTAGATCTATATTTGTTGATAAGACAAAAATTTTTTTCCGAGTGGACTACATATCGCTTTGCATGTCTTTTTCAACACTTCACACATAGTGCTGGCTCTTTTTGACATTTAAATTGTTGATATTTAAATATATTTTTAGTATTTATGATTAAATATGTATTTAAATATATAATTATCTGCACATTTTCAATCATAAAAAAGCTATGCTTAAGAACAATTTTCTATATTAATGTGTGGACCATTCTGATTCTGGAATAGTTAATAGAAAACAATCGTAAAAGAAGTCTCTAATATAGGTATAGTTGATAGATAATCGATATAGTAAATCTTGCCATATATTATTATGGAGAAAGTGGAAAAAAATGCAAAAAGCGCCGAAAAGTTAAATCGTACATCTTTTTTTTCGTTTTTTAGCTCCCAAAAGTAATTAATTTTTTAATATTTTCAATATTTTTTAATTTAATAAGCAACAAAATATTTCTAAAAAATCGCCTTATAATAAGATATCATTAAAATCCAAAAGTCGATTTTTTGTCATTTCAAAAATACTCATCTTACTTAATTTTTTAGACTTAATTTCGTTTTTAATATTTAAAATATTATTAAAAGACAATGATAAAAAGGTTGATTTTTATCTGGAATAAATAAATACGTAAATAAATCTTATGTTTTTTGAATTGCTGATAATGAGTAAGATAGAATTTGTATTCGTCTAAAGTGATAAAAATGTGCTGAAAATTAAGACAAATTCTATTGAATTTGAAATGAATAAAATCGAAATATTAAATATAAGGTGAAAAATATGATGGTAAATATTTAGATTAACGTATCCACCTCCAATGATTTTGACCTTGACATATGTTGTCAAGGTCACTGTCCTGAGTAACATTCAAGAGGTTTTAGCCGTCGGTCGTTGTTTATTAAAAAGTTATTAACAAAAGAATTTAAATGAAATGTACGTAATTTTCAAACAACGTGTATATAAGAATAGTGAGTTTGTATGTTGACCTACTGTAGGACTTCTCAATATTTATTATTGTTTACTAAAAGCTTTCACTTCTCTATTATTGCCAGTCTTTGTGTTACTCTTGTCGAATTATCATGTATTTATACGAATTTCTACATTTAACCGATCAATTTTTTACAATTATGTCAAAGTTATATCCACTAGTAAACAATAGAATTAATGAAAGTGAATAAATATTTATATTGTTTAGAATAAAAAATATTTAAATACTTATTATATCGACGCCACTTCTAATTTTCTTTTACTTGAGAGTACAATGATTATTCTTAACATAAAATGATTTCATATGGGTTTTCAACTTTCTACGCCTTTACAGCGCATATACTTTCGGCTTGTTTTAAGCCAAAGGACAGGGGGAAGGGTGGGGGGTGAGATAGACCTTGCTTCGGGTGGAAAGTCGAAAATCCATGTGGAACAGAACAATTACAAATTTTGTTTTGGACCGAAGCAACTATTTTCTGTTTTAACAAAAAGACTTTTCAATATATCAACGATTTACTCCTTTAAATAACTTTTCTTTGTTTATACATGTACTATTTCCACATTTGAATACTTAAAATAACTGCTATATTTCTCAAACTTTTTTTGTTAATAATTTTTTAACGAACAACGAGCGACGGCTAAAACTTCTTGGATGTTACTCAGAACAGTGACCTTGGCAACATATGTCAAGGTCAAAGTCATTGGAGGTGGGTACGTTAATCTAAATATTTACCAATATATATGATAAATAACTATTAAAAAGATAGTCAATCTTTTCATTGAAAATATCTTAAAGTTTCTTTTTGCTAGAGAGATTGCATGCATAAATTTATATAATTATAAATATCTTAAAATATAGTTCCCTTATATCACTCTACAGATTCCACTAAAGGAAAATTTCTTATAAGAGATAATCGACATTTGAATACGATACCTATTTTGCATAAATACTTAAATAATATATGTATTTAATGTCATACAAAGCCTCATCAATTTTGATGATAATATGTATGTATGAATGAACTTACAAATACGCTACATTATACAATAAAAAATTAATAATATAATAGAGCTCTGGACAAAATCTATTTTTAAGAAAACCTAATGCAAAAACATATAAACACAATCTTCCTTTTCTTCTTTTTTTCATTATCCATCTTCAGAACAATTATTTTGATGCATTAGGTCGAGAAAAAAAGATCGTGAAATAAAACTAAATTTTTTTTTATATTTTCTCTTTTATATGCAAAATTTAAAAAAATTAAAAAGTCGATACATTTGTTGCAAAATAGATGTGCAAACGTATATTTGTGAAATATAATGTAATCTGTTACATTTACAGAAATTGGTGGAGAGCGCCGAGCAAGCCGCGGTATCGGTGCCAAAAGAAGGAAATGTATCACCTAAGTATTACGCTTCGCATCGGCTTAATAACTTCGTTACTGACGGAAAGAGTTCCGGCGGCGCGCAAGAAATGTTCCTCACTGTAAATCGTCATTTTGACCATTTAGCAGTGAATGTTAGTTTGTCTGCCGTGCTTTTGCCAAGTGGGGTTAAAGACAGTGGTGAGTATCACAATAGATCATCTATTCTCAAAGTGGCGGTCGCGACTCCCAGGGGGGTCGCGGTGGTATATCAGGGAGGTCGCGAAATAAAGTGTATAAAAATAAAAATAAAAACACATTTCCTGAGGAAAACAACACAAGACTTATCGTTTTGTACATATATATTTGTGCGGCCACGTGCACATGCATCGCCAAAATAATACGTGTTTGTAGGGGGTCGCGAAATGTCAATTTTATTTTTTTTGTATTTTGGGGGTCGCGGGGCTAAAATGTTTGAGAAACGATGCAATAGATAATTCTAAGGAATTATGATATATAATTAATCAATAAATGCAGATATTTGTCAGAAAATAGTGTTATGTACGAATCTTAACATATAGGATGTCACTATAGATAAGTCGAAATAATTGGTAAATGGTAGGGAATACGAGAAAAACGAAAAAACTTTTATGTAGAATCTGATAATGAATTCAGTCAAAACTCCACACTACATAGCACATAGTGTATACTAGGCTGCTATACAAAATTACCTAAATATAAAAATATAAGCTAAATTATAAAATATAATATAATATTTTTAAGAATTAAAACCCAATAATGATGTATTGTCACGTTACCCAGCAAGCAAAATGATGCAAACTTTGCGCAAAGTTTGCAGCAAACCCTTAGCAGAATATACAATAACCATTTCATCATCCAAAAGTATTTATATATTATATATTTCGATATTTCACATATATAACAGCTTCTAGTATCTACTAGTGCGATTCAGGTGTAGTATGAGTAACCAAATACCCTATAATAACGCGAAAACAAATATTTTTTCTGAGTTTTTCAAGATTATATCACAATTATTTCATGTTTTTCAAACAGTTTTTGTTTTCGTTTTAATACCATAGAAGCATAGAAAAAGATGAGTTTAACAGATTCATTGGAAACGATCTTTAAGCAATTTAAGGAATAGAGAAATTGTTGAAAAAGACGAGAGCCAATATCTCTAAAATAAAGTATAATAAAGAGAATAAAACATAATATTTTATTTATAATACTTTATTTACAAAAAAAATATGCTTGAAATTTCAACCTCCGATGCGCGTATATAGGGTATTCTAAAAACATCGAATGTCCTTTTAATAACAGATTTTCTATTCAATTTGAGGACGATTTTTCTTGAGCAAAAATGTCGAAGCATTAATAATTTTCAAGTTATAAGCGATTGAAAAAAAGGAGCTTTTTGCAAATTAAACTTTGTGGACTTAAAAGATTCACAAAACTACATTCTTCAGTTAATTTCAAGAGGAGTTTTTAGTTTAAGAGAAGAGACAATTTTAATTTCAGATGTAGTTTGTATATGATGATGTATGCGCGTGTATACGTGTTCGTGTGCATGGCGCGCGCGTGTGTGGGCAAAAATTGGAAACTTGCAAAAAATAATGACTTATTTGACATTTTCGCTGAGAAAAAATCGTCTTCAAGTTAACTAGAGAATCTATCTAAAAAAAACAGGGTGGTTTTGACACTTTATTTTTCTGTGTATGTGTGTGTAACTGTTTCTTTATTATTAACACCGAATGTGGTGGGGGCACCATTATGTTGCAATCATCCATTTTGACATATTGACGAATTTATTTCTTTCAAAGGAATTGTTATCTTATTTTGAAGAAATGTTATACATATATACAAATGTTATAGTGCATTTAATGGGCCATTAAAAAGTGGACTAATAATCTTGTTGTGTAGAATTCAGATATTAAGACTTTAAATTTGTTAATGATCTTGTTAATGAACTTATCTCATCCAGTGTGTCATTTTTAGCCCAATAATGCATATTATGATGCATATTATTGTTTTAACGCGTATTGCCATTTTTTAAAATTGCTTTATTATTGAATATAACTTTATTAAATAACACATATTTATAATATTATTCTTCACTTATTTATGAAGTAAATAAAATAAATAATAATGTGTAATAGAGATATTTTGATTCTTGTCTATTTCAATAATTTCTTCACTTCTATGATATTGGATTTTTTCAAGGTCACTTCAAAAGAGTTTGTTGGATTAATTTTTTTTCTGCGCTTTTATGGCACTAAAATAATAATATATTGTTTTGTTTAAAAAGTAAAATAACTTTAATATAAAATATAAAAATAAAAAAAAATTGCATTATTAGATTCTAGATAAAAAATAATAAAAGAAGAGATCTTTTTTCATTATTGTCTTCTAATTTTTTTCTCTTAGATATTAAATTTTTTTATTGTTTAGCAGTTATTTCAAACAGCTAAACATTATACATTATAGATATTTACATTTTTTTAATTGCTAAGTCCAAATTTAAAAAAATTGATTAATAACTGAAAAAATATAGTTTAGGTTAATTATTCTATAAATTGATCGTTTACTTTCAGAACGTGATGTTGGTTCGGGCATTCAATGGAGCGAATATTTAGATCTATTGTTTGTTAATAATTATGAGACTGACCCTACACTATCATGGCAATATTACGGAGCGACGGCAGGATTTCTACGTCGTTTTCCAGGTATTTAGGCCAATTTATCTGTATACAGGGTGTATCAGAACAAAGTGGTACAAGCAAAATGGAGATAGTTCTTCATGCTAATGCAAGTTGAAAATGTAAAATGAAATATTTTCATATAATTCGTTTTCGAGAAAATTGATTTTAAAGATCCGTGTTTACAAATAAACAAACAGAAATAATTCTGTGTTGACAAGATTCGTTGAGTTGATTCGGATTGTTAAGTGCACATGTATTCGGATCTTCAAAATAAATTTGTTTAAAAAAGCAGTCTTGTATGTGAAAATATTTTTATATTTTTAATTTATATTTTCATGAAGAATCACTATTATATATCGTGTATACAGGGTGTAAAAAAATTAAACTGACAAATTTTGAAGG